ATAGAAGGCCTAGATCTCTGAAAGATTATAAACAATGGAAAGTTACAGAATTTAGAACTTTTCTTTTATATTTAGGGCCTGTTGTTTTAAGAGATATATTAGATAATGATATGTATAAAAATTTTTTAACGCTTCATGTTGCTATTTCAATATTATCGAATCAAGCTTCTTGTAAGGAAGATTATTATTTAGATTACGCTGAAAATCTATTGAAACATTTTGTTCATTCTTTAGCAAAACTATATGGTAAAGCACATGCATCTCACAATATACACAATTTATTACTTTTTGGCCTATCCTTGTATCAGAAAATCTGTGTGCTAAAGTATTGCAGGACTGTATTATGGGTATACGAAACCAAAAGATTCCAATGAGTTCTTAAAAAGATTTGTGTCTGATATAAAACCATTAGTAACAACAGGATTTATTGACAATGGAATAATAATAAAAGTAAATTTAAGTGCATTGATTTGCGATGCATCAGCAAAATCATTTGTTCTTGGAGTAAAAAGCCATACAGGATTTTTTAGCTATACAAAATGTACCATAAGAGGTGAATGGGATGGACGTGTATGTTTTCCTGGAGTAAATGAGAACATCTCTTTACGAACTGATTTAGAACTGGCAGATAATAAATATATGGGAGAATATCAACAAGAGGAATGTATATTAAAAGAAATTGACAATTTTGGATTAGTTTCTTGTGTGCCACTTGATTACATGCATTTAGTTTGTTTAGGAGTGATGCGAAAATTAATAAGTTTATGGTTAAAACATGTATATCCAAAAAGAATAGCCAAAACCTTTTGCAAACGAGTTTCTCTACTGCTCAAAAATATAAGATCGACAGTTCCATCAGAATTTAATAGAAGGCCTAGATCTCTGAAAGATTATAAACAATGGAAAGTTACAGAATTTAGAACTTTTCTTTTATATTTAGGGCCTGTTGTTTTAAGAGATATATTAGATAATGATATGTATAAAAAATTTTTAACGCTTCATGTTGCTATTTCAATATTATCGAATCAAGCTTCTTGTAAGGAAGATTATTATTTAGATTACGCTGAAAATCTATTGAAACATTTTGTTCATTCTTTAGCAAAACTATATGGTAAAGCACATGCATCTCACAATATACACAATTTATTACATCTTGTCGCAGACGTAAAAAAATTTGGAATATTAGGCAACTTTAGTTGCTTCAGGTTTGAAAATTATATGTCAACAATTAAAAAATTATTGAGAAAAGGAGACAAACCATTGCAACAACTTTCAAGAAGATATGGCGAAATTGAAAGTGTAAATAAAAAATATGAAAAAATAAGAAGCTCTACATTATATTTAGAAAATAAACATTTTGATGGTCCTCTACACCAAAACAGTAATATTAAAGGTCAATACAAAACGTTGCGCAATTCATTATATACGATCCGTTGTAACGATAAAAGAAACAATTGCTGCATATTAAAAAATGGAGATTATATAGAAGTGGAAAGCATTAGTCAATGTGCAGATGAAATAATATATATAATCGGGAAAAAATTATTGAAAGTACAAGATTTATATGACGTGCCTATGAAGTCTTCACTTTTACAAATAAATATTGTGAATAAAAATAATGAAAAATATAATCGGGAAAAAAATATTGAAAGTACAAGATTTATATGACGTGCCTATGAAGTCTTCACTTTTACAAATAAATATTGTGAATAAAAATAATGAAAATCAAAATTTAAATGCATGGACCATTGATAATGTGGCAGCAAAAGCTTGGAAAATTCCATATGGCGAACAGTTTGTCATATGCCCCTTAATACATACTTACAAAAACTGATATACGTAATATATAATATGTAATATTTACAACATGAATAAGAATACGATTCAAAGAATAGTTATAATTATATTATTTGCAAATTCTGTTTGTGTTCCTATAAAATGAAATTATTTTTTTTTGCTCATTCTATATTTATATTATGACTATCTATACTTTCAGCAAAAATATGACTACATTGAAAGCTTATACAATAATAGAATTTGAGGATGGCCTGGCAATAGTGCCTTCACATTGGTTAAGCGATGATGAAACAAAATGCGCTTATCCCACTTTTCGGGATCCAGCAAAAATAAAAAAAGCTGTCGCGTCACAATTCTTCCCCGAAGAAAACAATCCGAACTGGAAAATATATGATGTCTTACGGATTTTTTATAGAACAAGTTCGATTCAATTCTCAAAAATTTGATTATTATATTAATTATTTATAAATATATTGATTTGTCTTTTTTATGATGTTTGTATTTTCAGATTCATACAAATATTATTGTGATTTACTTATTATTATTAAACTTTATTATTATTAGATATTCTACATGAATAAGAACTACATTATATTATTAAAAATAAAACGAATGCCAATTCTATATAAATCAAACTCTATTATTGAGATAATATAAAAAAAAGGAAAAACTTAAAAGAAAATACTTAAAATAAAAAATACTTTGTCTTCTTTGGTATATATATTATATTTTATTTTATATTACTGTATATCACATAATTGTAAACTCCATATAAAATATATAGATTTTAATTAAAATTTTGTTTGAGACTAACATGCACATCGAATGAATATATTTTAATCGAAATCTAAAGTGAGGCCTTAATTCTAAACATTTACGTACATATTACTTACATTATACATATATTTTCTCTCCATATTGTATATACAGGGTTTCTCACAACCTCCGTACATACATTAATAGTGTGTATTCTAGAGATAAAATACAGTCAAAAATTCTAATACAAAAATTTCGAGACTGCAATAGTTTTTGAGTTATAAGCGATTAAAGTTTGCCAATGATATCCCAGTGAGCATTATTGAGAGGATGAGCTCTTTAAGAGGACTTTTTAAAGATTTAATTTAATTTTCTTAGAAATGATATCAGTAAGTTATCTTTTTGTAAGATATCTTTCAGAAGAGCTCTTTATGATATCTCTTCATAGATATCTCTAAAATCTCTAGCAAGCGTGCCATTTAAGATATTTTACGAAAGCCGCACACATGCGCAAGCAACGTACATGTGAACTAGAGATCCTGTGTTCTAGTGTGAACTGCGTGCCACTGCATGCTCTGGATTTCAAAGAGATAGCATTTCTTCAATATTAACGTTTTTAAGATAATCTTCAAAGAAATAGCATTTCTTCAATATTAACGTTTTTAAGATAATCTTTTTTTCTTAAATTATAAATATTATTAAATATGTATTTGTGCATAAAATAGATTAATATTTTCATATATATTTTTGTCCTCGCCCAAAAATATAATACTACAAATAGAACGGTTCTTAATGGTGACATTTTTTTTTGATATTTAATAAAAGTCAGATTCTTTTAGATGTCAATTATATGATGTCTTTCTTTCCTCTAAAATCGACGCATTGGGAGACTTATTGATATCATAATATTATCATTTTGATGGTGTTTTCGGAAGTCCGACTCTTAAACTTGAGTACTTTATGAATTTCTTTTGATAACATATTGCTCACTGGGATCGCGTTAGAGCTCGCGTGCTCAGATCTGTATGTACATACACGCGTACCGATCTGTCATCTGTTATTGATATTATAAATCACGTAATATTGATTTTTAAAGCACAGCTGATTTTATTGTTTCTTATGTGTATGAATACTATGTACGGCGATCAGCTGATATTAACGAACTGTAAATGTTGTACGTAAAAAATTTAATTTTTTCTTAAATAACAATTTAAATGGTCGATTAATTATTGTATTTAAATAGAAATATAAATTTAATATTTTCATTCACATTTAAGAAACAAAGTTTATTTTTGTTTTGATCGCGCGGAGAAGTTTTGTGGAAATCAATTTATTTATTTTATCTGTCAGCAATAACAGATGACAGATCAGTATATGTGTAAATGTAGTTACGAGCTTGAGGACGCAAATATATATATATATACATGAAGGTTATATTTATATCATATAGCTATGAGAATATATAAAAATTATGTATTACATTATGAGATATTTTCTAATCTAAAACTAACATTTGTTACTTACAAGTATCGAATCTTGATAAATCGGCTTTTTACTGTTATTACGTAGGAAACTTCTTAACAAGAAGCAGAGGCAACAAAGTGACATAGTGTTCGATACAGTACTTTCCTACAGCGTCACAAAACGACACAAGTATACACAACTGAAAAGCTGAGTCGCGACTTGTGTATCGAACACATAGCTACCAACTGTTTGAAAAATATAAAAAATTTCAATGCGTTGTAAAAATTTAGCAGTTTTGTTTTTCCGTATTTATTATATGTTATTCACCACCACTAACACGGCTAAGGGCGCGGGCACATAAAAAACTTAAGCAGTAAGACTTAAGACGTAAGCGAATTGACCAATCACGATCGAACAGTAAGGCAGCCATATAGAGACGTAAGCAACGCTGAAATTGAGGACGCAAATTCTACACAATATTATTGACAAACTTTAATCACTTATAACTCAAAAACTATTGTAGCCTCGATAAAGGCAGCCATATAGAGACGTAAGCAACGCTGAAAATTCCGTATGGATGAGAAATTCTTAAGTTTTAGGGCCGTGGCACACAAAAAAACTTAAGCACTAAGACTTAAGACTTAAGAATTTTATCCATACGGAATTTTCAGCGTTACTTACGTTTTAATATGGCTGCCATAAGGCCATGGCACATAAAAAAACTTAAGCAGTAAGACTTAAGACGTAAACGAATTGACCAATCACGATCGAACAGTAAGGCAACCATATTGAAACGTAAGCAATGCTGAAAATTCCGTATGGATGAAATTCATAAGTCTTAAGTCTTACTGTTTAAGTTTTTTTGTGTGCCACGGCCCTTAAGGGTCGACAGGAATGACGGACGAACTCCGAATTGATATTGGAGATCTCGCGCGGTAAACATGTAAAACTCCGGTTTCAGGGTTACCAACGCTGAGGAATAAATTCTCAATCTCGATGTATAGGTGTATGTCTGTATACGTACAAACCATTGCATTGCTTGCACGGACGCATCGCAGAGAGAAAGGATAGAAAAAAATCGACAATCACGCGATCCTTGTTCCTCTAGCGTCTAGTGTATCGTTTTACGGCCGAGATACGGGATACCATGATGGAAAGAAAGTAAGGTGTGCTCATATTGAGGACGCGTTTTCGCATCGTTGTGCGCATTGTACCAGCCGCCTCCATTTTTAAATTCCTGTGTTTATGTCGAAAGGCACGTAACCTTAATTTTGGACGTCTGTACTGCAATACCGGATTAATTATACGAGTGTGTTGATTTGGAATTGATATTAATATGCCTTCATGTGCAGTAAAAAATTGCCAAAGTTACAAGGGGAAAAGGGACAGAAAATCTTAAGTTTTTTAGATTTCCTACAGATCCAATTATAAGTGACCAGTGGAAAGTTATTTGCAAAAATGAAAATATTGATGTAAAAAATGATATGTTAAATAAACATTTATTCTATCTAGTTGCGTGTGTTAATACTATTGTATTTGTTAACAAAATAAATAATAATAACAAAAACAATAATAATAAATATTGTTTTTATAATAATAAATATTTTATATGTGTATAGCTCGTATCTGTTCGATCCTCTTTGATGCAAGTGTATATAAAGAAGCTTCATGATTTCGATCTGTTCTGGGAGTAGGACATACGCCCAAAAAACCAGAAAACTAAGAGCAGATGCAATTCCAACGGAATATCTAGAATCAGTTGTGAATAAAGGTAATACTTCATTTATCGCATGTTCCTAAATGTACTAATCTTTGTACGTAAAATACATGTGATTATTCTACTATCTAACTATTCTTTTGAATTATCACTGTTATAAATTATACATTTATATTTTAAATATTAAATTTATCCTTTTATCTAATTACAATTATTTGTTGTATTAGTGAAATATTATTTACCTTTTATTATTTCAGTACCCGATGAAACTATAACGGCTCAGTCAATTGGTGCAGAAGGACAATCGAATGTAGAACATCAAATTGCAGAATTTTAATGACTCTTCATATTCCCAATCATTTGATACCGGTAAGAATTGTAACAAAAATACACAAAACCGATTTTCTTATATTACATTTTTAGTATCACTCATATATTGTAAATTTATAACTATCTGTAAATTTATAATTGTATTTTCATTATTAATATAATATTGTTTTTATTTTGATTTATATGAAATTTCAGATGCCAAAGAAAAAACTGTAAAACAGAGCAGAAATGTACAAAGAATGTGCCAAAGATTATTAGCCCGAAATAAATATTTAGAAGGGGAACTTTTTAAGCAACGAAAACGCGTAAAAGTAAATTCAGACATAAGAGTACGAAAAATTTTAAGTTCGATATTTACTTCCGGACAAATTAAGTTGTTGTTAAATCCGCATAAGAAAAAAACTCATTGGTCGTCAGAGGATATAGCTGCTGCAATATCCATACGCACTGTAAGTCCTAAAGCTTACAGATATTTACAGAAAGCACGGAATGTGCCACTCCCCGCATTGTCGACACTTCGTAGATGGGTTGTTACATTCAATGTTGACAATGGTATTTTGGAACATGTTTTCCTTATTATGAAACATAAAGGCCAAAACATGATTAACATGGACAAAATAACCACATTATATTTTGATGAAATTCATCTATCCAACCAAGCAGCAATTGAACGGAGACAGGAAAGAGTCATAGGACCGCACGAAAAACGTCAAGTTGCTGTTTCCAGAGGTTTGTTCACCAAATGGAAGCAACCTGTTTATTATGAATGAATTTGACCAAAACATGACCAAACATATATTAACAACTATAATTGCTAAATTGCATGAGATTGGTTACACGGTTGTTGCGGTAACCTGTGATTTAGGGCCAACAAATCAAAGGTTACTCAATGAACTGGGCATTGATAGTGTGGAAGGTAAAACGTACTTTCTACATCCATGCGATGAAGAAATAAAAATAAACGTATTTATCGATGTACCGCACCTAATAAAATTGTTATGTAACAATTTATTTGACTCCGGATTTTACATAAATGGTCATTACATAAGTAAAACCTACCTAGAAAGGCTAATTCAAATTAATGGCAATAATCTAAAAATTGTTCATAAATTGTCGCGATTTCACCTAGACGTAAAGGGAACGCAGCGACAAAACGTCAAACTTGCCACACAGGTTTTTTCTAACACAAATGCTACCGCTTTAGAATGATGTGGCGAGAAAGGATTTATAGAGGATTGTTTGGAATGGTCTGAAACCGCAAAATTTATTAGACTATTTAACGACAGGTTTGATTTATTCAATTCTTCGAGTAAATTCGGCTCACATTCTGGAATGCATGAGTATGGCATAAATGATGAGAAACAAAACGAACTTTTGGCTAAAGTTTCGTTACTTGTTAAAGATATGCGAGTTGGGAAAAGGAGCAATTTACTTTCTTTTTAAAAAGGAATTTTAATAAGTAATGAGTCATTAAAAAATTTATATAATGATATGAAAATGATGTTCGAAAATACTCAGTATCCTGTGACATACATAATGACTACTCGGCTCAATCAGGATGTAGTAGAGAATCTATTTGCGTACATACGAGCAATGAAAGCTTGTAATGACAGACCGACAGCACTCGATCTTAGATACAGATTCCGATGGTACATATTAGGAAAGCATCCGACAGACGTTTTTACTGAAGGAAGTAACACTGTGCAAAATTTGATAGATAATGAAACTTGCCTTACTAGTATGTCTGATGAATTATCTAATAGCAATGAAGAGAATACAGAAAATAATAATCAATTGGATTATAAAACCATTAAAGAAATACAATTTTGCAACATTTCGGAGGAATTCACTGAAGAATATCAGACAGATAAGAATATTGATTTGGAAGAATTTGAATACAATAATATTGGTAAGCTATTAAATTTATAATTGTATTGACTGCATATACTGAAATATATATTGTATTGATATTTACTATTTAATTGGTAAGTCATCAATGTGGTAATTGTAATGATTATGTAAGAATTACTTTTAAAGATAGAAATTAAAGATAGAAATTTTTATTATGATATTAACCACGTATTAATCATTTCTATCGTGGTATTAATAACGTAGTGTATAAAAGTTCATTGTGTTAATTGTGTTGTATTCATATGAGTACACTTAAACATATGAAACATTTTTTCGCTAATAAATTATTATTGTTTATCACTATATGAGGAGTTCTTTAATTCATCAATTGCTCAATCGCATAATGCGCAAATGCAACACTTGGCTGCAAATGCTGTATTTGCGCATCATGCGATTGAGCAATCGATGAATTAAAAAACGCCAATAATTATAATCGTCAATATTACTGTTTCTGACATAGATAACGTAAGCTACTTTAATTATTCGCCCGATCCTGAAGAATTCTATCCTCCAGAGCAATTTGAAGATTTATAAATGCATCCGATGTTATACAGAAGGAAGGTTTAAAATATATTGCCAATTACGCAGCATCTAGGTTCCGAAATAAATACCCATTTTTAGAAACTCCTACAAAACTACTAGCTAATTCAGATGAAGACTGGATTTATCATATTTCGAAAGGAGGAATGATTAGTCCTTCCATTAAATTGATTAAAACGGCAGAAATAATGAATTCAGAATTTGAAAAATTTCATGATTCATTTAACAGTAAAAAATCCGGAATTTTTAAAATAATTGCTAAAAAAGTGAGAAAAAACAAACAGACTTTAATGATACCTGTAGAGGTACTATTATGCCTCATTAGAACGCGAACTTACATTCGTTTGCGAAAAATTAATAAAAGAATAAATACAGAAAATTATAAAAGAAAATCTCAGAAAAAAATGAAAAAATTGACAAACAAAAAGTATTAATATTTATATACGTTTTTCATTATTGTTTAAATTGTACTTATTCTTTATTGTTATTGACAATTATTCGTTATTGACAAATTATATTTAATGATATATTTACTGTTTCATTCATTTTATAACATATTTTCATTATTGTACTTATTCTTTATTGTTATTGACAATTATTCGTTATTGACAAATTATATTTAATGATATATTTACTGTTTCATTCATTTCATTCATTTTA